ATATGAAAAAAATTACAATATGTTAATTTTCACAATTAAAAGTAAATTACAATTTTTGTAAAGATCTAAGTTTAAATGTCTTAAACATAATTGAACCAATTACAAACAATGTATTAGATTATAATATAAAACTAAACAAAAATTCGAACATCATACAACTAAAATTATGGTTTTTGACAAATAAACTAGACTTTTCGTGARCTTTATTTGGGTTGTTGAGGTAAAGTGGATAATTTTTTTTTAAATTTTAATGTTACTTTTTTTAAAGATATTATATATATACATATATATATATATATGTATGTATATAAATTAAAATAAATAAATAAATATATATATATATATATACATATCGGGCCGGGCCGGGCCGGTGATCCCGCCCCCGTCCCCGTTAAAATCCCCGAATTCGTCCCCGATCCCCGTCCCGTCCCCGATAAAATGTCCCCGAACCCGGCCCGAAAGTTTCGGTTTTCGGTTTTCACCGTCGGTTTCGGTTTTTTTTGCCATCCCTAAAATCGACTGATTCATTTAGAACCGTAATCGGATATCTAATTATAATTGGATCAAATCAAATCCAAAATTTCAACATTTAAATTGGATCGGTTGGTTCTTGGAGGGAAATTCAGAATCCAATAAACTGAACCGGTCCAATCCAATTACCGTCCAATTACCCATCCAATTAATAATTATATATACTTATCAACATTTTAAGATTTTTTTAGTTGATATATATACATACAACTGATAGCCAACCGAAAACTTTCTGAAAATCACACAAAACCGTAAAATAATGACAAACAACAGATATATATATATATATATATATATATATATATATATATATATATATATATACCAACCGTACCAATTTTTTTAGTAGCAAAGTAAATGGTACCTATTGTGATCAGTTGATACCAATAAAAATGGTACCAGGATTGAGAATCGGTTTTAATTTATTTATTTATAAAGTTAAATAAATAAAACAACATATTTTTAAATTTTTAATTATTATATTTTTCTAAATTCTAAATTTCTATTTTTACTTTCTTTAAATTCTGAATCTCAATCAATTAAAGGTTATTTGTTAAATTCAGTTTCAGTTAAATAACAATGAATACACAATAAGAATAACAATCTAGAGATCAAATTATCATGTATATTGATAAACTCTCTCAATACATATTTTCTCTCTACAATGTATTACGATATGGTTCTTACTAACAATAGCTATTTATATGATTGACTAATTACAACGTCAAACTACGACTAAGCTCTAATTATAAAGTTGACTTTTCACTAACGTTGACAACTTTGACTTTCTTTACTCATGTTGACTTTCACTTTGACTCCTTCATTCTTCAATGTAATCTTTATAATCAGTGATATCATTAGAATAATCATTGAGTTCTAACAGAATACTTAACTATTATATTTATAATAGATTATATTATTAAACAAAAAATAAATTATTTCATTATTAAACTTAAATTAAATTATGATAAAAAATAAATTAAAAAAATTACATAAAAATGAAAAACTTTTAAATAGATGATTTGATATTAACATCGATATATTTTTTTTCTTCAAATTTTTATGATATCTTCAAATTTATATTTTATTTAAAAATTAAATCATTATTGCTTTCTTAAAAACACATAAAATCGTATTACAACATCGAGAGAGACAAAAAATAAAATAGAATATTAAAATCGAGATTTATCTCGCTGCATTACACAAGTACCCTTCTAGTTATATAAAAGTAAAAACATGGTACGATACTATGTTCATCTCTATAAAACCATTAAAAAAGTGACATGGGCTTGATCTTGGGCCAATCAGGGGGATATAACTCTCTAACCTGGTGGATTGGGCCAATTACCCAAAGTATAAGCTTTTTGAGTTTAATGAGTTCGAAATTAATTTTTAAATACTTTTTATACTAAAATAAATAAATTTAAATTAATTTAGAAGGTGTTCGGGATTGCTTATTAAAAAGAATTTATATTTTTTTTGTAAAAATGTTTATCAACTTATGTGGTGTTTAACTGAAATTTTGTGAAAGGTGTTTGAATTAGCTTATAACGGTACCGAAACGTAATAAGTTGACAAGTTAATTTTTAATGTCTGGTAAATTTTGTTAATCCATGTAAAATGATCGTAAAGACATTCTTTCAGAGAGTGACGGCAGGAAAGGAGCAGAATAGCCGCGATGAGGAAGAGCAGCGATGCCGGAAAGAAGAAACAACATCTGACTCCGTCGATGAGGAAGAGCAGCGGTGCCGGAACCCTCCCACAACAACAGATCTCAATCCCTTTCCATTCTCAGATCTTCCCAACTTCGGCTTGTTTTTCACCAAGTCTTGTAATTGGGGCGGAATCTGTGATTCACATGGATTTTCTGAATCAAGCTCTCTTAGATACGAACCCTCCAAATCCAACCTTAAAATGGAAATTAAAGTTGATTCACTGCTCTCATAGATCGATTCGTTGCTCTCATGAAGATGCCGATAATCTCATCGATTGCCATTGGTGGTGTTGATATTGAGTAGCCTGGATGATCTAATGGGGGTGAGTTAAAGGGTTAAAAGAAAAGGGTGAAAATGTAATTTGGTTTTCAAAGCTAGTAAGTTGTTTCTAATAAGTTAGAATATAGTAATATATACATAGACACACATATACGTATATATATATATACACACACATACATAGAGAGAGATGAGTGATCAAATACAAACCACCCAATTTGTACAAAACGTACAAACCACCCTCATCCTTCGATTTCATTGTTTAAAATTGTTTCATATAATATTTTTTTTGATGAAATTGTTTCATATAATACCTAATGAAATTTTAATGCAACTGTTTCATGTATTTATCTAAAATTAAAATAATGAAGATGATAATATCCACGATTAACACCCTCTACAATAAAAATGATTAATCAACCTTTCATAATTACAAAAAAAAAAAAATGAACAAAATGAAAAATTATGATTAATTGAATGAGGTTTGTAAGATTTGTACAAAACATGGTTTGCAAAGTAAACCTCCTCCTCCTCCTCTCTCTATATACATACATATACAAATGAAATGTTTGAGCCTTGTGTGTTTTGGGAAAAAAAAACCCGGTCTAGTCAAAGCAAGGTTAATACAATCTAAAATAAGTTCTGGACCATTTGGATTTGGTATGTTTCGGGTCATCTTCTTCGTTTAGTTATAGAAAATATAAGTTATAGTTTTAAGAAAAGAAAAAATTTCAAAAACCGGTCTAGACTGGCCCACATTTTATCTGCTCAAAAGAAGAAGATAAATTCAGTTTTTAACTTAAAATGATATACTCCAAAAAAGAACCGACAAATTGGCCTGATTTGTAGTCATGACGTTATGTCCTTCCTATCGGATTTGATGTAAAATGCCCTGCACTTTCACCTACTAAGAAAGTGAAACCTTTGCAACCCAATTAATTGAGATATTTATAGAAATGATTGGAGTTTATTTATTATGATTTGAATATTTATGGAATATGAATAGAGTTTATTAATTATGATTAATACTTTATATTAGGAAACAATTAATTGATTAAAAATTAAATGGTTGAGATGAGGGTTGTATAGGGTGTAGGAATGACAAAGGGTGTAGAATAACATCCCTCTATATATATATATATATGTTTGTATTGAGGTTTTTATAAGTACCTCAATTGTGGTACAAAGATTCCTGTCAAGTAACAAGTTTTTATTAGAACTCAGATGCTTCAACAAAAACCTGTGTTCTTATATACATTATTTTTTTCGTATTTTTTTATTTATTATTTATATTATTTCTTAACCATTTTATTATCTTTTAGTAAATCTTTAAAACATATAAGTTAAAATTGATTCAAAAAGTTATAAATTAATTATTATAAAATACATTTTCTTTAATTTTACGTTCAAGTTTTTATATCAAAATATATAAAAATGTTGATTATCTCATTATTATGTTTAGATTATTTTTTTAAATACTTCTAAATGTATATAAATAAAATTAATTTATAAATCAAAAATTAATAATCGTAAAATATATTTTCTATCTTTAGAAAAGACCATAATCACACCCCTCCTTCAAAGAAAATGAAAAAAGACACTCAGATGAGGGTGGGTTGTACGGTTTGTACAAACTGGGTGGTTTGTATTTGATCGCTCATCCCCCTCTTTCTCTCTCTCTCTCTCTCTCTCTCTCTCTATATATATATATATATATATATATATATAAATATATGTAATTTATACAATAACCTATAATTAAAATTACATTTTATAAATAAAAAAATTGAAAGTGAGATTTTTGTAAAAGACTCTATTGTAGAGTTTTATTAAAGTTTTAATTTTGTTAAGGTGACAATAATGTAAAGGAAAAAAAAAAAATGGTAAGTCAGGTTTTTGAAGGTTACACCACTATGGATACTCTGATGTGTTTTATGTAATATTTATAGTTGTTTAGCATTTGTGATTCTTACGAACGTACACTTCTACTTCCAAAATTCATCTGATTTCCTTCGTTAATTAAACTGGATTCGAACGAAAAAATGATGGTAAATAAGTATTCAGGTTCGTCATTGACTTTTATAATAATGTATGTTTTTCTAATAATATATCATGCCATCTACTCTTTTGTCAACTAAGGGGTCGTTTACCAAACACTTACCCAATAAGCATTTATCGATAAAATTTAACACTATAATAAACTTAGCGGGTAATATTTTAATCCACCAAAACGATATCGTATACAAAATTTACTCGGTAACTGCTTACCATGGTAAGAGTCGTCACCCTCACTTACTGGATAAGACTCTTGGTACTTACCTCGCTCTTACCGGGTAAGATTTTTGGTCGATACCATATTCATTCAATAAGATAATATGACTTGATGTTCACTTACCCAAGTAAACATTTGGTAAACGGCCCCTAAGTATTTCACTGTTACATACACTCAAAATAACCGAATTTCTCTGTTATAAAAGTTAAAATGATTCATAACAAGTGGGAAATAGCAGCAAAAAGTTCAAACTCTGATTTCTCGATCTAATACACATCAACACTCAACCCTTTTACGAACTTCAGCGCCATACGGAATTTTACACAGTAATCAAGGTCAAAACTCAATATCACACATGAAACATTACCAAGCTCCGTATTATTTTCATTTTCGAAGCATTTGGGAATATTTTACAATATTCTTTCAACAATGTTTTTATCTAACGAAATCGAGCGATTTCAGACGTTTGTTGATCGTCAATTGCTCAGGGTCAATTATTCCAATGACGACAAACAGACAACTCAGATGTCTTCAACACGCGCAGCCTCTTTGCGGAAGATATAAACATGCTACACAATTACAAACTTTGATTAATTAGCAACTCATTTATTTTTTCCTCGAGTTGTTTAAAAACATAAAACCAAAAATCCACTGACTAACGGCAACAAAAACGATGCTTACTTCCAAGGGACGTCGCCAACAAGGATTCTATCCCCTTCGTTATCCTCGTAAACCAGAGTGTACCCTCCGTTTCCATCCAGTAATCCCGTTGTCACATCTATTTGTGTTTTTGTCGTGCTGGAAGACACGTCTCCTTGAGCTGAAAAATAACCAGAACAATTTAGTCGAATACAAACCGATAACCCATCTTGGGCTAAAATCAAATAAGAACTAGAAAAAATGTTGAGAACCGTGAAAAGTGAAACTCATAAAACGGTTGAGATCGCTTCTCACGATTTTCAACATTTTCGTGTTTCTCATTTAATTTTTCTATCTATATATCTATGTTCAACAATTTTATCGATAACACACACTATGTCGATTAAGCATATGATTACTAGTATTCGTATTCAATTCATATACATACATACATACATACATACATACATACATACATACATACATACATACATACATACATACATACATACATACATACATACATACATAGGGTTGGGTTCACGTGAGACCAGACTGTTTTCGTGAGACCCGTGAGACTACATTTTTACACTTGAAACTTCACAGCAAAAACGTTGTGAAGGTTTAAAAAAGTTGAACCTTCACAGCAAAAACACTGTGAAGGTTACCTTCACAGCATTTTGATGTGAAGTTTCAAGTGTAAAAGCTGGTCTCACGGGTCTCACATGATCTCAAGTCTACATACATATATACATACATAAACGTTACATGCATGCATGCATACATACATATATAGATTGAGGATCAAACGAGTACAAAGTCAACATAAGAAAATACGAAAATGTTCAAATCAAGTCATGGTCAAACTCACGTGAATCACATGTGATTTTAGTTAAAATCACATGTGAATTAACCATTCTTCTCTTATTTAGCCATCGTTATCGTTCAAACCGAGTATGTATATTATATGAATTAACGGTACCTGCCAATAGTCCTTTAAAGAGTTCATCTACAGATGAGGAGAGCCTTTGATAGTTATCATAAGCTTTCAGATCAACCTTTCTTCCAATCGCAACTCCATCCATATTAATCTTCACATACAAACTGTTTTCATGATCGGAACTGGTTTTCTTGCCGCCACCACTATCAGCTGCCGGAGCTTTTTCCGGCAAAGACACCACCTTGGTGGAGTTATAACTAGATGTCATGATGTTCTTCCTTGACGTTCTCACCGGCGGCCACCCCACCACCACCGCCGCAACCCTACCATAAAACATGAAATTTTGACTAACCCCTTTAATTTTCATGAATTATGCACTCATCAAATCATCAAAATTTACGAAAAAACTAAGGGGCCGTTTACTAAATGCTTATCCAATAAGTATTTACTGGGCAACTTTTCTTACTGCATGAACATGGCAAGACCTAAGAATCTTACCCGGTAAGAGAGATGATAAGGATGGAGAGTCTTACTCGGTAAGTGAGGGTGACGACTCTTACTCGGGTAAGCACTTACCAGGTAAATTGTTGCATATGATACATTTTGATGTACTATATAATCTTAGCCGATAAATTAAATTATAGTGTTGACTTTTACTATGAGTACTTACCGGGTAAGTATTTGGGTAAACGGCCCCTAAAACAATTATACAAAAAAATAAATTCAATAAAAATAAATTTATGAGAAGAAATGTGTAACGTCTTTAAACCCCAAAAAAATGGACTGAATCAATCGATTACTTAAAATTATGGTAAAAGTTATTGGTATCACACAACTTTAAGTTTTTAAAGATACAGTGTGAACACAAGTCTACGTTTATATCCACATCGTACAAGAAGAAATGAAACACGAAGCCACAAAATGAAGAAAACAGTAGTGTAAACTATGAGCAAATCGAACGTATGGTAGTTTAATTAGCTCGTCTAAACATTTCGACCTTAAAAGAATTTGAATCTAAATATCGTACTTGGGTATATGTTCAATCGATCATCAAATATGTATCGGTAGAAAAATGAAAAACGTTTTCATTCCGTAGATGTCGTTCTCGAGATAATTTTCAAGAAAACTAAGATTATCGTGACACTAGATATATTATCAAATATCATTCGGATTATGCGTGCAATTACTGTAAATTAAACCAAACGAACACAATATATATCACTTAAAAGAATAAGATATAAAGAGTGGAATATATGGAGGATTGCTCTATGTGTAATTATATATATATATAGAGGTTGGTTATTATACAACCCTTGTCATTTGTGCAACCAATACAACCCAATCTCAACCGTCCATTTCATTTGATTAATATGTGATTTTATAGAGGTTTTGATTATTTCCTAATATAAAATATTAATCATAATTAATGAACCGTATTCATCTTCCATAAATATTTAAATCATAATAAATGAACWCTAATCATTTCCATAAATATTTCAATTTATTGGGTTGCATTGGTTGTACAAATGCGATAGGTTGTATTTGAAATAAACCCTATATATATATATATATATAGGAAATGGTTCAAATAAGAACGCATCTCGAAAACGAGAGAATACATTTTACTATAGTTTATCACATGTGATGGCGTAAATCATGTACATGTGATAATGAATCAGAGATGCAGACCACCTTTGGTATGTCCTAGCTAGATCGCGGGCCAAGTCGTTCACACACTACCAGCACTACAATAAAATCGGGTTTATAGGACACTCCCAATTTCTAAGCGTCCTAATCGACCTCTTTAATATAAGACTTAGTTTATAGGACCAAAAAAATAAAACGCCCTATCTAAAGGTGTTGTAATAAGTTCATATGACGTTTTTTGACGTCGTAATAAGTTTTTTAGGACACTTTTAATATAAAGCATTCCATTAACAACTTTATAAGACACTATTTCAAAAACTGTACTATAAAAACAAATGTCCTATAAAAAATTGAGTTTATAGGACACTTTCTCAAAAAGTGTCCTATAAAGTTGCTAATACGACACTTTGTATTAAAAATGTCCTAAAAAACTTGTTAAGACTCCCAAATACGTCATATAAACTTATTACAACACCTTTAGATATGACACTTTATATTTTGGTCCTATAAATTAAATTCTATAAAGCGGTCTATTGGGACATTTAAAGATTGATGGCGTCCTATAAACCCAATTTTGTTGTAGTGCATGTTGGGTTTGAATTTCAGTATTAAATTGTATTCGTCTTGAAAGTTAATAATTGTCTATAATTGTATAGATATCGTGTTTGACTTTGACTAGAAGAGTTTCTAGTTTGACCCCATACATAGTTTTGTCTTTAGTGTAATTGTGAGGAGAGCTTTCATTGTAAAAACATAAGTATATTTGAGAGTAATATAGAGACTTTGGTTGTGTTGACTTTTCCTCTCATCTCCTTCAAGTGTTCTTGAATGTTTATCTGATTCTGCCATGATTCTTTAAAGATATATGAAAATTGATCATATTGTAGACTCATAGTGCATGCAGGTACCCCTCACGTGTATTATCACATGTGATAAAAGTATTTTTACGTTTTCATAAAATGAAGGTGTTCTAGTTTGAACCTCCACTCTTATATATATATATATATATATATATATAGGGTGGTTCAAATATTAACCCATTTTTTTGTGTTAACTCTACTAACCAACATCAACCAATCACATTTTTTCTTTACTTTATGTTCAAATGTAATTTATAAATTGAATACAAGGGTCATTTTGTAATTTGACCTTTATGTAACTCCCTAATAATTATTTGGGAGTTACAAATCTTTTAAGATCCCTCTAATTGATCATGAGGTAATTCTGATGTTCACGGTGTTCATGGTGTTCATATCCATGAACATTCACCGTGTTCATATAAATGTTCACCGTGTTCATGCGATGTTTTTATAAAAGTACCCTCTGAACTGTTGTTCATAGGCATCTCAATTAATATATTAATTAAATGATTATTTTTATAGTCTCATTTAATAAGGACCGTTTGATGAGAAAATGAACGATCAAGATCGGGTTAACATAGTTTGCATAATAGTTTTGGTTAGTATTTGAACCAGCCCCTATATATATATATATATGAGCGATCAAATGAAAACCACTTCAATTTGTAAAAACCGTAAAAACTACTCTCATCCATCGTTAATCTTATGAAATTTTTTCATGAAATTGTTAATCTTGTGAAATTATTTCATATAATACTTTTTTTTTGATAAAGTTGTTTCATATGTGGTTATGAAATTGTTTCATATACTACTCAATGAAAATTTAATGAAACTGTTTCATGTATTTCTCTAAAATTAAAATAATGAAAATGATAATATCCATGATTAAC